TACTGGAATCATTTATCTAAATATATACTATAAGTGCAGTTTCTCTGAATTAAATTTGCACGGCTTCTTTCCAGTTTAAACCGTACGTGGTTTGATTGGCTGAATCACCAAATTTTGTTAGAAATTTGTCTTGAAGCTACAATAAAGATTGTTTTGATCTTTTGAATGATTATAAATCACATTATGTCAATCAAAATGTTTGTTAATATCTGTTTTAATAACTAAAGTTGCAGCTCAACGGTAACATTGTCGATTTGAAGTGTGACTTTAAAGGTGTAAGCTCGACATTTTGGGGCTTATTTGCTTTCTTAATGAGAGTTAGATGAAAACATTGATACCACTCTCGTGTCTGTCTGTTAAATACGAAGCTACAACCAGGACACTGTTTAGCATAGCTTAGCATAAAGACTGGAAAAGGGTGGAAACCGCTAGCCTGGCTCTATCTGAACGTAACAAAATCTGCTTACCAACACCTCTAACACTCATGAACTAACATATTATATCTTGTTGGTTTGTTGTACACGTCTGTACACTTAGTATGCGTAGCTTAGCAGAAAGAAAGAGTGTTCAGCACATAACCCCCAGTGGTATCGATCTTCTCATCAAACTCTCGGCGAGTATTTCCCAAAATGTCAAACTTTTCCTTGAAATTATACAAATCTGTGATCAAAGCTAATAAATCAAATAAAAGTATATTTTAAAGCTTAAATCAGGCTGTACCCTGCCAGTGTGAGAACGAGTGAATGATTTGAATTGTTTCCTCCTGTAGGGCCTCAGAATGGCTGGAACGACCCTCCGGCTCTGAGCAGAGCATCGAAGAAGAAGGTTAGTCTCTGTCAGTGAAGATGGTGGAACATCATCAAAGTCTATCGATCACTGATATTTTAAACGAAATGTATGTATCTTTTATACAGCCGACTCGCGAGATCTACACCCCTCCTGCCCCCATCATGTGTCCGCTGGGCGTTGACCCTCAGGCCCAGCAGGTACCCTCTGGGGTCCCTCAGGGCATGGTCCAGGGCCCACACGGTGCCCAGGTCCCTTACTCAGGCATGCACCAGCAGCAGTTCTCCCCTCCACCCATGAACCCCGCAATGCCCAAGACCAGTATGGAGGGAGCACCGGGAGCACCGACTGGAGATGTTATACAGGTACACTTCATTACACCTTCAAAATAAGAGCTCCAACCTTCATAATAAAAGTCAAGCTACAAGTAATAACTACAAATTAACAAATCTTCTGTTTAAACCTCTCAGCCTCTGCAGTCCATCCCTGCTGAGAAGATCATGAAGAAGCCCATCCCCGACGAGCACCTGGTCCTGAAGACCACATTTGAGGGGCTGATCCAGAAGTGCTTGGCTGTAGCCACCGACCCTGTGAGTCCATCTGCTGGAGATAACTCAGTCCATCTTTACTTTACAGAGTGAATCATTCAAATTTGTAACCAAACTCAATTTTTTATGTTTTCACAGCAAACTAAGAGGAAGCTTGATGATGCCAACAAACGTCTGGAGGCGCTCTACGATAAACTCAGGGAGCAGACGGTGAGTGTCCCACTTGGCTCACTTATTGCACTAATACAGGCAGGAGGAAGAAGAGGCGTGCTCAGCAATGTTTGTAAAAGCAGGGACGGCAGCTTTACTGAATGAAAGTAAGAACAAAAAAGAAAAATATGAAGCTGCAGGAGGCTGGAAGATGCAGATTATATGTTCATTGACATTTTAATGCAGAAATATATTATTGGAGCTTTAAGAGGGTTTGTTAAATCCATCTTGGAACACGTGTGAACAAATTTAACAGAAATATCACATATGAGAGCTTTAGAATAAGAATATGAAAATGTTCTTGCATGAGGCCAAATGTCTTGGGTTTACAAAGGAGAACTCTCCTTTTCTCCAGCTCTCTCCCGCCATCGTAGGAGGACTACACAACATCGCCAGGAGTATAGAGTCCAGATCCTACACGGAGGGCCTGAACATCCACACTCACATAGTCAGCAGCAGCAACTTCAGCGAGACGTCGGCGTTCATGCCCGTGCTCAAGGTGGTGCTGACACAAGCCAACAAACTCGGGGTCTGATCGGGGGGCACAAAAAAACCTCCGAACTCCTCCGAGTCTTTGACCGGTGGACGGTGGGGAGTGACTGGTCGGGGGCGGAGCTCGCTTCGCCGGGCGCCGCATCTGACTCGCGGAAGAATTCTGAGAGATGTACGAAAAAAATCCTGTTAAATTCTTCTTTGTGCCATTCATGTTTTCTGACGCAACTCAAACACAAGCCATGCTATCGGTCGCACTCAGTGGTGAAAGTAAAATTCTGAGCCCTGTGCAAACAATCGCACACAGTAAACGAAGGGCTGGAGGCTGTTTAATTTAACTCAACCAAACAAAATTACTCTAAATGTTTTGTTTTTAAACGTGTAGTCATGTGGATTTAATGAATATGCAAGAATCTTATTGAAAACTGGTGATCAAACTATAATGAAGGCACATAGTGTCAGTGTATTTGATATGGAAGGCCAGTATTAATCACCAATGAAAACTAAAAATAGGAAAAGGAAACAGGAAAGTCAGGAAATTCTAAGGGCATTTCTATCCACTTGTATTAAGATGATTGACATAAATGTAGTCAGCTTAAAGAATAAAGCCAGTCTCGATGAATTAGGTATTAATATCTGCATGCTTTTGTCTCACAACTGCGTGATCATGCAAATCATTTAAGAAATATGAGCTTGTTCATCTTTATAGTCAATATTTGTGCACTACAACAATGCTCCGATGCATTATAACCCATAAATACATAGAATTTTGCGAAGTCATGCTTTATTTTTTACACATAAACGCACCATTGCCTGCATGTTGAGCTGCAAACGAAGCTCCAGATGAGAAAGGGATGACAGAGTATTGGATTGGCGGTTAGATTAATCACCAAGAATCACTCTTATAAGCATTTAAAGCTAATTTAATGCTAAGAGGGACAGTTTTTCTTTTTAAATAAACCTAATATGATTCGTATTAGTTCTCTGAATCCTCTGTCTGGTTTTTACCGGCTTACTTTCACCACTGGTGTCACTACATACAACACATTGGACCAAGATACAGTCAGTGTGGGATATGTCAATGCAAAGCAATCCAGTCCCATTCGTCGAGGACATTTTCATGTCGTTTTATTTCGATTTTATTTGTCTTATCCTTGTTTTTTTTCAGTGTAATCATGAGGCTCAGCAGAGTGCAATGGATTTTTAAAGAGACTGTGCTTTTATGGAATTTTAAAGTATGCATGCTTAAACAAAAAAAAAAAAAACGCTAACAGCCTTCTTTCAACGGCATTTGAGGTTAATTGTCTGCTAATTAATCAGACCTCAGAAGGAAAACTGGAAGGAGACTTGTACTTGATTTTCATTCCAACTATGATGAGGGCTGTAGTCTAAGTGGTCAACTTCACTTTATGTTGTTAATAAAGGAAAACAAGTCCTTGTTTTAGATTGACTACATGCAATATTTTCAATAAATAGTATTTATTTACAATGCGATGTTGTTTTCATTTTAGTTGCTTTCTTTTAAATTCATTAAAAGAAATAATAATGTGTTTTTCTTCTTGTTCCTACAGCTGATTGATTTATTTCATAAATTGAACATTATTGTGGCCTGTGCAAGAGTTTGGGCAGCCTAAGAGTTCTGCAGTCTGTTAGTGATTAGGAAATGTCAGCTGGTGCCAATTTTAAGCCTTTAGAAATTCTTTAAAACCTTGCTGAACACTTAACAACCGTGAGTTCCTCTAAGCAGCTACAGGAAGGCTGCAAGAAGACCGCAAAGCCAGTGTGAAATAATTAAGACACGGCAGTTTAGGGGAACTGTGGAGGTCAAGATGAGCTCAGGAAAACTGAGAGAACTGTTCGTATGCTGGTCAGAAAGGCAGATTAGAACCTCGAAGGGAGAGCCAGAAAAACCTGCAGGAACTTTAATCTGGAGTTCACCGCGCAGAGCTGCTTGCACAAACAAAACCTTCATGGAAGAGCCGGTAGAAGAAAACCTTAGCTGTGTCTACAGGACCCTGATGTGTTGTGGACTGATGGGAGTTAAAACAGAACTCTTTAACCACAATCAGTGAAGGGATGTTGGAAGAAAAAAGGAGCAGCAACTCATGTAAAGTAACTTTAGCTGTCGAATATATGTAGTAAGTACTAAGTAAAAAGTAGAATATTTCTGACTTTTTTTCATGTCAAATGACCCCAACAATAGACACACATTAGACCACGGACCCCGATTTGAGAGGACTTAAAGAAAGAGAAGAGTATTTTTCTAATGATTAGGTTTCAAGATCATAGTCTTCATAATCAATCAACGATCAAACTAAGATTACTATTAATTACGATCCATAAAAACAGTCAACCCTATTTCTTCCCTTGTTTAGACGTATAAAGTAGCATCAAATGGAAATACTCAAGTAACATAAAAGTACTGAACATTTAAAATAAAGTGCTTCAGGGAGTCTTCTGCAGCTTTTTAATCATCAAATATCATTTTACCAAAATACATGATTGTTTATAAAGTTGTCTCAGATCAGTTACTTCAAGATTCTCTAAAAATGTCACATTTATTGCATAATTATCTTTAAAAAATAACTACAGTTTCTCTTACAGGAAAGAACCTCAATCATGATTTTAGAAAGGATCCACAAAGGCCGTGACTGCACCGTTTAAAGACATTTATGTTTCAGTTGTATTTAGCTGATGTGGATTCTGACTCAAACTGGACCTCTGGATTGTTTAAAAACTGGAACGTGATCGACCGCCAAACTCAGAACACCAGAGGCTTTGCTTTCTCCCAGGGGAACTCGTCTCTGCCAAAGTGTCCGTAGCAGGCAGTGGCTTGGTAGATGGGCCGCTTCAACCCCAGCTCCCTGTACAACACACAGCCAACATTAGACTGTTATACTGAGAGAATCAGAGTGTTTCCATGGAAGAAAAACAACACCTACTTCACAATGACTCCAGGCCGAAGGTCAAAGTTCTTCTGTACAATCTGCAGCAGCTCGTCCTCGTCCCTGTTCGACGTGCCGTAGTGAAACACTGAGATGGCGAGTGGATGGCTCACACCGATCGCGTAGGAGATCTGAGGGGAGTTAACAGACAACGAGGCTTTCACTCATCAGGAAATCTTCTGCTTTTACCTCATATACAGTTTTTAAGATTATTAAGAAGCATCGCACATTAAACGCAAAATAATAACCTACTTTTTTAAGAGCCTGACTGATATATCGGTATCGTACCGCCGTATCGTCATCCGATATACGACAATGTGAAACTTTGTTTAGCTATTTATTTTTATTTTTTTAATTATTATTATTATTTCTAGAAGTGGTTAACAATGTAGCCTACGTGTAAAATTATTTAACAGCCTCTACGGGTGAAGTTGCAGATTGCAGCTAACTGAACACCTCTCACATCTGCATTTGATGCCCTGGGAATGAGAACGGGCTGTGAAGTGAAGTGTGCAGGAGAAACTGCGGTGGCTAGCTGTAGAAACATGGTGTTTAGTTCAGTTTAGCACCAAACTAGTACAATTCATGTGGTTAATAGTTCAGCAGCCAACTATTTACAACAAAGTTACCACAAACTTCGCTGCTGTTTTTATAAATATGTCCAAAAACATCCACTTCCACTGAGAAATAAACTGGCCGCAGTGCTGTTATTTAAACGTCCTCACCTGAATGAGGGCTCTCCTGCACAGTCCCGCTTTGACCAAGGACTTGGCGACCCAGCGAGCCGCGTACGCTCCGGACCGATCCACTTTGGAGTAGTCTTTTCCGGAGAAAGCCCCTCCTCCGTGCCCGCCCCATCCTCCGTAAGTGTCCACTATGATCTTACGCCCTGTGAGTCCTGCGTCACTCTGGAGATACAAAAACCATCCGTTAACTCCTGCTTGTCCACGCACACCCGACAACCACAGGTTTCCATCTGGGGGGAGGTCGATCTTTACCCACCTGTGGACCACCCATAAGGAATTTCCCACTCGGCAGGAGATGGTAGATGGTCTTGGCGTCCAAGTACTTGGCAGGAATGATGACCTTCACCACCTTCTCCATCAGATTGTGTCTGATCTCCTCCAGGCCGATGTCCGGGCTGTGTTGTACTGAGATGACGACGGTGTGAACGCGCAGCGGCTCCATGGCTCCCATGTTGTCTCTGTACTCCACTGTGACCTGCAGGCAACAGGACACAGAGCTTCAACTGTAGAGTGAAGATGTAGAGGACGTTTTGAAGCATTTGAGGCCTTTATTAGACAGAAAACGAGGGCAGAGAGAGGGGGAATGCATTGCGTTGCAGTTCACGGTCGACCCTGAATCCAAAATCCCTCCATTTTTCTCCTTCTGATGTGGCCTACTTGTGATTTGGCGTCTGGTAGGATCCAGGGACACTCTCCGTTGCGTGACAGCTCCTTCATCCTGTAGTTGAGTTTGTGAGCCAGGAGGATGGTTAAGGGCATGCACTCCTCGGTCTCATCCGTGGCGTAGCCGAACATGAAACCCTGGAGAGACAAACAGCTGGTAAAGATGCAGCCTGAGCAGCCACCTCAAAAGTTTTCCTTCAAATTGAAATTACAATCTTTATATTGAAGGAAATACAACTAAAGAGCTTTTGAATGGTGACTTTTTCCTTAATGGCTCCATGAGTGAAAAGTCTCAGCAACTTATTGCAATTAAATTCTATACAGACATTCATGTTCCCTTCAGGATTCATTTTATTACATTTTTGTAAACCCCTGACTTTTACTCTAGCGCCACCATCTGGTTAAAACATTCCTTTGTCCAATACTCTTATGATTTCTGCTTCTCAAAGACTCACAACACCACTGTTTGGGTTCATTCTTTTTAATTTTGAGGGTTTAAAGGTCAAATACTGAACCTGGTCTCCGGCACCGATGTCCTCCTGGTCCCTGCCTTCGAACACACAGTCTGATATCTCGGCACACTGCGGCTCCAGAGCCAGCAGCACGTTGCAGGTCTTATAGTCGAAACCTGCAGATCACAGCGGGGACTCAAACACCTCATTCGCTTTAAAGTTATTAAATAAAAACGCTGAATCCCACAATGATGTACCTTTGGAGGATTTATCGTAGCCAATCGCCTTCACGGTATCTCGGACCACTGACTGCAGGTCCACTTTGGCTTTAGATGTCACTTCTCCAACCAGTAAAATCATTCCCGTCTTCGCCACACATTCTGTAACAAAATGTGTTTTTAGACTATTTAGTGTTTATTTCACATGTAGAGCAAATTGTATTTATTTATTCATTTATTTACTTACCAGGGACAACTCACATTAATCAACAATACTGTAAATGTGCTAATTTCCATCCAATTTTCCATTAGTCCCTGGGCAGGTTATGACAAATCAGTGCCAGATATCATCAGTACTTTGCTTCAATAAGTATTACAAGAACAATACAAGACAATATAATACATATTAATACATAAATACATTAGAGAAGTGACAGAGATTATGTAAAGGCAGTGCCAGAGAGAAGGTAACAGTCAGTGGACACAATAAAGCTGTAACTGAACTTTGGTCTGAAGGACAAAAGCGGATCCAGTTTAAGATAATTTGTTGTTCAATGTTTGCGACGGTTATAGTTTAAAGATTTCTGGATTCCTGTGAAGCCTCAAAACAAGACATTACATTAAATGTAATTAAACTATTCACTACATGAGAGGTTTTTTGTCAATAAATACTTAAATATCCCCTCCAGACATATAAAAACACTGAATAATAGTTTGTGTCTAATGACTTTGATGATTTTTTCAGAAAAAAAGGTAAATTTACCTCGTTAAAATAAATCTATTTCTTCTACCTCGCTGAAAAACCCATAATCAATGAATATGTAAATATTGTTTTTATATTTCTTAATGTCTAAAAAATCAGCAAAAGAAATGAATGCCCATCTACTGCTGTTATATGAATATTAGGACTCATCTGGACGGAAACCTGGCTAATTAGAGTAACATTATAACATCAATATTATATTATTTTGTTTATTTTATGTGTTATTCTGTACATAAATACATTTAATCATCCATTGTGGTCTTTGTGTGTATCGTGAAGAGACTGCAAACGTACATTTCTGTTGTATAATCTTGTATAATAACACATAAATTGATCCTTGATAGATCAGGATACGTACCACAGGCCACTTTAGAGTCGGGGTCTTGACTCAGGTACGCATCAAGTACAGCGTCACTGATCTGATCACACATTTTATCTGTGAACATAAAGTCAGAGAGGTAAAACAGACACAACTACACATATAAAGTATATGAATTAAGGGCTGTGGCTACCACCGAGGACGCCAAGGACACGTTCTCATTGTTTTTTCTAAGAATTTGTCCTAAAAAAATGTCCCAAAACTGCTCACTTTAGTTAGAAACAAAAAACAAAAGCTGTGCCCTGGATCCTCCTTCAGTTAAACCTAATGCACCATATGTCCTACAGGCTACAAAACTGACCTCTATGTGCTCTAGATGGTTAAATAGTAGTGTTTACAGACCTGTATACATTAAATCTGAGTCACATAACAAAATCATTTCAATCTTAACCGAGGTTTAAAATTTAGAATTCATCCAAATGGGATGTTTGGGTTCATTGTACAGTTTTAAATACAATATGAAATATGCATTAAATGATAGAAAAGGGGTCCTTTAAGGAAAAAGGTTGGCTTTAATGTACATTTATGTATTTTTACTGAAGGGTCTGAACACTGACTGTAACACAGACAGCCAACGAGGCCTATTAAGTAGTTAGGCATCTTAAAAACTGAGAAAAAACACACAATACAGACTAAATAATCCCCTAAAATATCAGGAAAACTAATCTCTAATGCAATATTTAACAATCTGCTTACAACCTTCCTGCAGTTACTGTGCAGTTTGTTCTTTACTGTTATTGTTATGCATTAAATATAAAATATAGGACTCAATGACAGAAAAGGAACTGCTTTAATGTGCATTTTGTATTTTTACTGAAGGGTCTGCACACTTCTTCCACTACAGGCTGTAACACAGACAGACCCTGAGTCCAGACCTGGTCCAGACCTGGTCCAGACCTGGTCCCTGCACACATTGCTGAACAGAAAAGGGGGGGCACAGTACCGGAGTGTCCCTCTCCAACAGACTCGGATGTGAAGAGGAAAGTCCTCCCGCTACGGGTCCCGCTGGGGTTCATCTTCAGCTCGTCGGTCGGTGCAGGAGAGTTAAAAGGAGGTGGAAGCGGACTGAAAGTGGACTCTGGTGTCTGATGGTTATTAACAGACAGCAATCATTAACTCCTGCAGGCGGAGCTCGGCTGCAGCTGCACAAAGTTCCGCGGTTTGATGGACAAACGACGGATGCAACTTTTCATCCGACGTTTTTCCAGAAATATGATCATAAAACTACAAACTTTAAGCAATGCCGTCCTCCCCGGTGGGTCTCTGTGTCCCGGAGGCTGTGCGGGGTCCAGCTCGGTTGTTTACCAGAGGAAAGTCCTTCAGGCAGCAGCTCGGGCAGCCTCAAGATGTCGCCGAGTTGTAGTTTCTAAAGATTTTATTTTGAAGTCCAGAGTACATCCTCTGTTATAATGTACCGTTATTTAATTATGTATGCTCATAAAAATGACCAAAAAAACTTAAAATCTAAAAGTTTTCTCTTTCTGTAATTAATAATAATTAATCAAGTTATTTTTGTGAAGATATAAAAAGGATATTTATGTCATATTAACCTGTTTTCTTTTTATAATACATTGTAAATACAGTCATCTATCTGGACTATATTACACTTTATTGTATATACATATACAATTATATTTTTTTATTTATTATATTGTATTTTTATCCCTTTTCTGCTCTTTGCTCTCTTTGTGCTGCTGTGTCAAATGTAAACTATATGGGGATCAATATAGGAACATCTTATCTTAATGTGCTCATTTAGTCAGCTGTCCCCATTCTTTGTGCTTTTATTCTTATATTTATATAAAAATATGTATTGTTTGGCTTTATTCTAACTCTTCTACCTAAAGAAATCAATACTTTATTATGAATTTGATCTTTGTTCTGGCAAAACTTCACATTTATAAATCTAAACTTTAAATAAAAACCATATTTTTTCAGAATTTGAAAGAAAAATCAAGCAATAGATTACATTATACTCCCATACTCTGTCTGTCCCCTGGCGTTGTCTGTCCATGTTTACCTGTTTGTTTATAAAGTTGTTGTTTTTTTATTAAAGTTGTTTCTGATGTTAAAAACTGTTAAAAACAACATTTCAGAGTGAAATATTGAACTTCAGATCACCTCCATTAAGGACTTAAACATGTCCAGAGTCAGAAACAGACAGGAAACATCTATAATGGATCTTCCTGTTAAGTATATTATGTATTTGTGTATTATATATTAGTGTTACATACTAAAAACACTTGAATACTTTTTCTTAAATAAGACTTTTGCTTGTAGTGGAGTATTTCCACAATCTTCCACCACTATAACGACTCACATACAGCAGTTATAGCGCCTTACTGCACATTTCAGACTCATTTATCTCAGTTTTAATTTGTCTTCACATGCACACGCTGTTTCCTCCAGTGAAGCACACTCCCAATGTTCAGTTTGCATGACTCATCACCAGATCCTCTTTATCAACGAAGTCCATCTGTAGGAGCAACGATGTGCAACTCCACCGCTAGATGCCGTTAAATCGTTCGCACTGGAGCTTTAGTGGCATCAGACTGCAGAGAACACGGCTCTCCTTCCAACACACCACTGTTTTTAAATTGTTCCTGTTACTAAAGGATCTTAATACTTCCCCCACCACTACACAGGCTTACAATCGCTGTGAACTCCCTCCCCACCCTGCTCTCCACTTCCCTGATGATACACTGTTACACACATTTTGGTTTCTGTGTTGCAATGCATGAAGGGAAACGGGACAAAGAGCACTGTGTTAGAATCATACTGAAGTTACTGGGTGTGAATGAAGCACTGTTGCCTCCTACAGCAGATCCCAACATATGGCAGGTTTTTGAAGTGTTTACATTTAATTCTACTTAAGTTTTCACTCTTCTGCTAAGATTATACATATAAAACATAATACAAGTTCATAAAATATGTTGCACTTTTATACATTAAACTACTAAACAGTATTGAATATATTTGAATATGAATATAATTAGCTCCACCTCAACCAACAACAATAATATTCTACTTAACATTAAAGTCACAGTAATCCAATAATATAACATATATAGTTAATAGTAAACAGGGGCATTTTTCTGCATTGAATAGTTTTACTTTTGATACTTTAAGTACATTTTGCAGAAGT